GTCAAATAGCAAACAAGGTTAAGAGCTCAACAGTTGTATGGTCACAAAAGCAATGAAAGAAGATGAAGTCAGCAACAACCAACAGATTTTTATCAACAGTTCTTGCTGTAGACATATGTTCATATGATTGCATACCTGGTGAGGGGTGAGCTCCACTCCAGTGTTGATGTCAACCAGCTGGAAGGACATAGCAAAGTTGATGTGGCTGTCTGCTGTGAAGGCGGTCTTGGCTTTGGAAGGAAAGTCCACTCTAGATTTAAAAAAAAAAAAAAAAAGGAGGGAGAGCATTTAGTATTTTTCTTTTTCCTGCTCAGGTTAAGCAAATAGCTGGCTCTGATTATCAAATGTGTTGTTTTTAAACCTGGTAGTCTTTGTGCCGATGCTCTGGTCTTTATCCACCACGGAGAGGTCCATGTTGGTAACAGCCACTTCAGTGGACACTTTCACTTTAAGCTGCAGGTGGACACATTCAGAACACAAAGCAGAGTCACAACATAGTCAGGATACATGGGCACATCATTTGCATCGCTTTGTTTGTCATACTAGTTCAATTCAAACGGATGTAAAGGGGACCTCCAGTGAATTTCAATAAAGTCAAGGAAGTTGCAAGAAACTAATTGCCTAAAGAATGGCCAAAATGGGCACAGCAGAGGAATAAATACTGGAATTGCTTGTCAGATGGCTTCAAATTAGGAGGGTATGACAAATTCTTTAACTTTTCAAAACCTCATCCACTTCAAATTGGCATTGGCCAGCTGCAAGGAGCTGATAAAAGGATCCTCTGTTTCATGGTTACAAAACACTTTTGCACGAGACTTTTGTGAGACACCATGAACAGCTCCCTGGAGACTGAAATGCTGCATGTTCATTCAAATATTTAAATGTTATTAGGTCTTGTTCATCTTTCTTTTCCCTCCACTATCCATTCAGATCAGGCACAGGCACATTTGTTCATGAATCTCTCTAGAAAACGTGTAAAACTGGTGGAGTGTCCTTTAATTTGAATAAAAATAACCATGTAGCCTGTCCACCACTCGCAACTATTCCAAGAACACACTGCATTTTCAAGCTGAACATAGCAACTGAAAACTTGCCTCAACGTGATTGGCAACCAGCCGGCTGTCCCCGGTCACTGCAACAGTAAACTGGTAATATCCACTGGCTGGTTGGCTGGACATGAAGTTCAGTTCAAAGACGCCACTGGAAAGCAGGGGAAAAAAAAGATACTGTAATCGTGTATGTTCGTGTTAAAAACAGAATGTGGTAACAAAAATAAACTTTGCCTACACAATTTACTGATAAATAATAAATAAATGAGAAGCTGGTAAAGAACTTAATTTGCTCAGTTAAACACAATCTACAGCCACTGAAATCAATCAAAATGACACTTACGTGCTGTAGTTACTTGTATTAACATTCATCCTGCATTTATATGAACACTAAGAAAGTTTTGTGGGCTAGAATGAGGTAATGTGTGGTCACAGGTATGCGTTTCTTCCACCTACTGGGATCATTTTTCAACTTCTGGGGACCCCAAGAGACTCCTGCAAAGTTAACACTTATCTCCCCTATTATACGTACTCATTAAGTGTGAACGGTGCTTGGCTGAGAATGATGCTCTTGGAGGCCACAGCATACGCAGATTCCACCAAGACGTTGGCAGAGGCCAGAGGTTGAGACATGACATCAGTAACAAGGAGCTGTGAATCAGACAGAGAGATAACGTCACTAATGAGGTGATTAAAAACCATGCTGAGGATTGCAGCTAGAATGAGATCCAGCCTCAGTACCTGCAGTGTTGGCAGGCTGTGGGACACCGTGGCTGGGCCCTGAGCGCTGACAACGACCGGCACATGGAAGCGGTTGCTGGACAAGGCAGCGGCGGCACTTGCCACACTGAAGGCCTCACCCAGAGAGTCCCAGGATTTCTTGCTGAAGATAGAATTCACCAGTTGGATGACCTGCTCCTGTGGAGAAAACATGTTTTACCACATTCCAAGACAAGCAGATATGATTTCAGCTGGAATAGCACCTGGTAGGCAGGAGTCATACCTCCTTGAGAGGGGGCTCCATGTCCACATGATCTGACAGGGAATAAGCAGCAGTCACAAACATTGCGGTTGCCTCAAGTCCCTCTTCAAACTGAAGGTACATGCCACCAAGATCATCCAAGCGAGCTGTCAGATCCTAAAAAGGAAAAGTAAATATATTTTAATCGGGCTAAATAATGCTAAAAATAATAAATCAAGACAAGAAAACTGGTAATAATTAGGACCTATTGTTTGTGGCTGAGTCACAAAAGAGTGACACAGCACCACCTGGTGGGAGTTATAAAGCTCACCTCAATTTCCTCCAGTATTCCTCCAAGTTCTGCCTGCTGGGACAGGCGGGACGCTGTTTGCAGAGCTAAGGTGATTCTGTCCAAACCAAACACACATTTGTTTTAAATCAAACTGTTCGAATCCTTTGCTAACAAAAACTGCAGGATGTTACCACATAATCTGACCAATGCTCTGACACTTACGCCATAACATTGTCCTCCTTGTTGATGCGAGCTAAGAGGGCACCTACAACTTCCTGCGAAGTAATAGGAAGTCCCAGAGAGCTGAGCGCACTCACAGCCCGATGAATCTGGGCCATCGTCGAATCCTCACTGACTGCCGCCAGAAGGATGTCACGGGTTTCGTTGGATACAGGGATCTAAGAGGTGAAAAAAAAAAAACTTGTATAAACAGTTAAGTCATATCAATTCAACTTAAGTGCAATCCCAACTCTACAAACAAGGTATATAGAGGCATTAATTCTGCATTCCTCCCAAGTCCAATACCAGACAGGAGCTGTGGCAGGACAAAATACACAACTGAAGACAGAAGGAACCATACATCACAGCATGTAAAAATAAAAAGTTAGAGCACAAAGTGGGTTAGTGTTACATAAATAAATAACAAACATAGCTTTAAAACTGTTTAGGGTTCGCATTACAGTTTCATCTTACAATAATGGCAATCATATACAGGATCATTTGTTCTTCTCATTTAAAGGTTTTTCATTACTGAGCAGTCTTGTTTCTACATTGTTAGGCCCCATATTCCCCTCATCTACTCTAACAGGTAAAATGGCAGTAAGACACTTCAGAAAGTCAAGGCAAGAACACGTTTTATACCTCACATCCTGAAATGGCTTGACTGGTCTCAGCAGCAAAGAACAGCGAGTCGACACTTGTGGGATCAAGCTGGGATTTCAGGAACTGGCATACTTCCTACAAAAAAACAACAACAACAAAGCAAATGAACACAACATTTTCAGTCAAAGAGCAATAAAGGTATTCCATGTAATGTATGCAGCTTTGGAAAAAAATATTCAACCACTGTGGCCAGTTTTCTGTCCCTTAGAGCAGCTGTATTGCATTTTCTTCTTAATGGAGAGCTGTCTGGCTGATTCCAAGCCAGTTAGCAACACCAATCTTGCTATATCCCTCTTCATTAAGCACAAAGATGGCTGTCTTTTCAGCTCCCTTTAATAATTTAGCTTGGATTATATGTTGTAAAATAATGGTGCTTAAAAGAAGTTTTGCAGCCATCTAGTGTGAATTTTGTCTACAGCGTCGATACATCACATTTTCAAACGTAATTCATTAAGAGTATTATTTCCAAAGCTGTATGCAGATAATAAAGTCAGGAACGACTGGTGTAATTCAGGAGTGTTTATCAGAATTTGCAAGCATGCGATTAGAACTATTGTCCTACCTTGTGATCGGGAACAGCTGCTCCAAGCTTGGTGAGCCCAACAACAGAATAGTATGCGGACTCCAGGTCGGTGAACTGTTGGCTCAGCAGGTTCTGCAATCGGGCCACATCAGACAGGGAAAGGTAGTGCGCCGGTGTGAGAGCCTGAGCTCCAGCAAGAGCCAGGCTGAGGAGGAACACTCCGAACAGCTCTGCGGACACACAACCGACACCAGTTAAGCTCCCGGCTGGTCGAAAGGTGTGACCACCCGAGTGAGGACGCAATAAGACATTTTCATTAACGCACTGGCACTTCTGGCGACATGCACTCATTCATTGCAGGTTTAGCTAAAAAAGCTAACCAGCTAACGTCAGTAGGAAGCAGCTCACTGCACGAGCCAGGCGACATTTTTACACCACTTCTAAAAGCTTGCAATTCAGTAGCAGCATATGCAACATAAATGAAAAAAAGAACAACTCGTATATAACGTTACAGTAAACATTTAAAGACTATATGACTTACTGGACCGGTCCATGTCTCGCAGTCTAATGCAGCGTCACCAAAACCGACGACTACTTCCGGGGTGTCAAAGCGCGAGCTGTCACAAACGGATAACATCCGGGTTACGTTCCAAAAATTTGACGTGCCTTTTGTAAAGCCGGAAATTACGTAAAAATAATCTTAATTATGGCAACATAATAATAATAATAATAATAATAATAATAATAACTCCTGGGTTTTGTGTCTAATGTGTTCAACGTCATGGCCAGTTTTATTTTCCATTTTTTACCCTTTCAAATAGCTGTAAAGGACCAGTTGAACTCATATACTGCAGTTTTCCCCTCGCTAAAAAGTCTAATACTTCTCTATCAGTATTTCTAGTGGTAAAAAGAATCTGTGAAATGCCATTAATATGTGCAATTATGTTATTTCCACATCTAGAGGAATTTGGGCAATTTAAACTAGCATGTAGATTTTTTTCTTTTTTTAAAAAAAATACTGTCCTATTCAAATATTTGTGCTATCCTATTTAAGGATTTCCCCATTGTGGGATTAACAAAGGCTTAATAAAGTGAGCTCGTAATTTATTATAATGTCAATATTGCTACAGACCATATCAGACTATACTGAAGTGTGTAACAGACAGCACCTATTAGCTCCCAAGCAACCGGCTTAAACAAATAAAGTAACTCAACTGAACTGCTTCAAACATGAATCTGATTTAACTGAATCTGTAAAACAGGTTTACATTAGACACAATCAGAAAGCAAATGTGCATTAGACATATTATTGAGATTTATTAACTTCCATGGCAAAATGCTGCATGTAAGCAAAAACATACAACACAAAATATTTACAAACAGTGCCAAACAACACACTACCCCTGCCATCAATAGTTGGTGTTGATTTTATGCATTCACAAATTCTCAGCTACTAGACTACTACAGAATAAAACACCTTCTCAGTGGGAATCATCATTTTGTTGGCTTTTAAATTCCTAATTTCTCTAACTTTTAATGTGTATTGAGATGTATATGGTAAATCTATACACATGCTAAACAGATACTACAAGACAATCTTCCCTCACCATGTTATCGATCAACCTGTCTGAATTTACCGCATACTAAGATAAGTGAGAAGGTGAGAAGTGCAACCTGAGTTTGTACAGTTCACAACTTTAAAAACTGTTAAATTACAGACACAACATGTAATGTAAAACAATGTCTTTCTAGCGACAGCAAAGATATCTAGCATTGATTTTTCTTTTTTTTACATTTATTGTTCTTTTCAAACACATTGAAACAACTATAAATCAGTGAAATGTCACTGAAGCCTGTGAGAGTGAGTCCATCTCTACAAGCACCATTCTCTCCGAAATAGGTGACAGAGGCATATACGGTCAATGTTTTGATCGCTAATTACTTGGTCAAATACTGTACTAACCCCCACACATGACGTGTCCTTTTCTTCATCACAAATTACACCAGCAAAAATCAACAGCACCATTAAGTTGTGTGTGTAACATGTTGGTGTAAAGATGACACATCTCAGGACAAAATCAGAGCCCGGTTGGGAGCGTGGGACTTTAGTGAGCGAAGGTAGCGTCTCGCTTTCTCTGTCATTATAAGTTGGTCTTTAGTTTGTCCACAAACAACTGTCTCCCATTCTTTGGACATCTGTAAAGAGAAAATTAGATGAGAGCTTAAATAATACTCATTAATGAGGTTAATCATTCCTTTTAAAGAGCAGAAAGGTAGAACTTACTGGAACTGGAGGAGCTGCGCTAGAAAATATAGCACTATCGCTGGGTCCCAGAAGGAAGCCTTGATCCAAAATATTTTCATGCCGCTTACTGCAAAACGAAGAGGAACTGAGAGAAACTATGATGGGTTCTTCCTGTGGTCATAATAAAGGGACAAAAAGCCAAGAATTAGGATGTGCCAAATCTCTGGACAAGCTAATAACACATTTAGAAACACACTTTACCTTGATGCTATGCTTGGCTTCAGGTCTGACAGATTTGCGTTTAGATGTTGGCATCACCTGGCAGTCCACGACGTCTAGGGCTAATGATTTCCTCACTTTCTTCATAGGAGGACGATGCTGGAAATTCAAAAACAAAAGAGTTCTGAGTAAATAGCTTCATCAAAAATGAGGTACAACTTTTGTCTAAAACGTCAGCATGTCCACATAAATCTTTGAGCTGTTTTTGTAGAAGCGCAGAAACTACAGTACGTTAACAGAAAGCATTCTTGTACCATGGTAGCAGCAGAAGCCTAGAAATATCTAGATAGGGGCTGCAAATGAACAAAACTGCTTTGTGCAGCTGCAGGGGAACACTGAACAGTGATACGTAGCTCCAAGGTGTGAATTTGGGAACGTGAAGCAGCGTGGAGCTAAAAACAGCAGTTTTCTGTTCAAAGCAGTTGAACTGCACCCTTTCTAAGGTGTATCTTCTACAGGAAAACTGGTAATTGTGTACATGTCTGGTGACTCTTTCCCTGCTTCCTTTGTTATTGTGCACAACAGTGTGACCCTGTATTGAACACAACACACTTGCACAGTTCTAGAAGCGCCAGCGTGCACTTGAGATGGTAATGAAAATTTGTTACAACAATTTAATTCCTGATGCTTTATTCACTTTTAAAAAATTACATTGCAGAAGATAAATGTCATGCCACGTTACTGTCAGGAAAAGTTGAGATTGGTGCTGAAGCTGCTAACACTGCTAACTATAAGAACCCTGCTCATGCTTCAGATCATATATATCTCATTCACTTTTTTAACACGTAACTGACTACTGATTGTCAACATGGCCGGCCACTGGTTAAGGAAACTGTCAAAACCCAGCTTGCACCTTTGTAGAAAGTTGAGCACAGGCTTTATATCTGGTATATCCCACTCACTTCTTTATGTCTCAGTCAATAATTCTTTCAGTGATCTGTGTATATCCTCTACTGACACAGAATAATAAATATACTTGATGTACAGATAGAAGCATGTTGCTTTCATCTACTGACTGAACACACAAGATGAGATGTAGCAATATTTACCAACTCAGTTAACAATTTCTTGTAGGAAGTAACCAGGTGCTACATTACACTCCATAAAGCTTGTAAAACATACTGCTAAGCAAGGTTTACAGAAATGTCAGTGTGACTTTGAGTCAGAGTTTTCTTACAACCAGCTTCACGTTTCTGTACCTTTCCAAGTAGACAATATGTATAAATGCTGTGGTTTATCTTTAACAGGTCTTAAAATAACTGAAATAGGTGTAAAGTATTAAAGCTGACTGGTAGTTACCATGGTTTTGCGCCTTTGCTCAGGTGGCGTCGAACGTACGACGACCAAGTCGATCCCTGCGTCTCTCAGGATGACCTCGTTTATGTCATCTTCAAGATTCGGAGTCTGAGGCTAAGATAACATGACAAAAAATACTGTTAATGCAGTTTGAAGAAAAGGAAAAAGAAGAAAAGAAAGGAAGAAGAAAGACACCCACCAGAGGCTGCAGAGGACCGTACTTCTCCATGGCGTTTTTGAACGGTGTCGGAGTGCGTGGGGTCGTACAGAGCTCGGACTTGTGGTTGGGCGTAACAAATCTACAGGATGACAGATGATGGAAACTGAGAGAGAATTGTGCACTAATTCTCAGATGTGTGTTCCAAAAAGGTATCCAATCAGACTTGGTCTATCTTTTAATACTTGCAATCTCCAAAAAGCTAAATAACTTAAAGACACATTTTGTTGCTGGACAAGACAGAAACACTACGATTTTCAGAAGTAATAAATCTAATGTTCATTCTATGTATCTGACAAATGAAATAAACAGCTGTAGCCCACTGTATTTCATGAACAATGTACTCCAAATAAGGAAGGATTGAAACCATGAAGATGACTAAATTAAAACGTTGAGGAGTTTGACCAGGAGATTACAGAACTGGCATGAATCGATCAAGAAAAGTCACCACTCGCTGCCTCATATTAACTAGAGAACCTGCCGACATTTCATTGCAGCAGTTACTGAATTAATGTTGATAAGTTATCTGTATGTTCTTTCTATTTCTCTCAATGTATAATAATAATTGCGATGCATTATAAACCCAATCAACAATAGAACCAGCTATCAGAACACATTATCTACTTACATAGAGTTTTCCTTCTGCGTGAGGGGGGTCTTGTCTCGCTGTAGCGGCGTAGTAACAATGGCTTTCTGACTGCATACCGGCGTGGAAGTGAGGGACGGGTTCTCCAGGTCATGAGTGTCCTGCTTGGTCCACATGTTGAGGAACTGAGAGGAAAATACAGTCGTCAGCAGAGGACCTCAAGGTGACATCAGACGCAGCACCGCAGTATTAACGCCGACGGCTTACTTGAGATGGAGAAAAGGGTAGTATTTTGACAGGCGTGCTCTTCGGCGTCATGGAGTTATTGGCATCTGGAGACAAGGCGATGCGTCTCCGGCTTTTGTGGTTCAGTATGGAGGGCGGTGTGACTCCTCCTGGAGAGATGGGGATGAGTTCCCCTTTGCTACCTTTGCTCAGCTCTTGCAGGGCGCTGCCCTCCAGACGAAACTGGTGGCGTTCTGGGCTGGGACTGTCCTCTGGCAGGTCAAAGGCTGCAAGGTTGCACCAGCCATCTAAGTCCTACAAAAGACATGTAGTTTGTCAGTTGTACATCTAGTCAGTATTCTGAAATGCAGAAATGTATATAATTTTAACACTGATGTCTAGTATATTACCATATAATACATAGAATACAATATAATAACAGTATATAGACGGCACAAATGATCTTAAAGGGATTTTAAAATTAGTGCATAATGAAACTTTACATGCAGTGCTGGTAAAGGAGATGTCTGTCTTGAGAACTGTATTAATTTACCCCATCCACCATGTCCAGCACTTCCTTCAGCGCTGGGCCAGTCGGAGAGAGAAAACCAGAGCTGTCCACCACCCAGCTGGTACCGCTGATTTCTCCTGAGGTGTCTGATTCAGTCTTGGGACTTAAACTGTCCTTTGGAGAGGAGACAGCCTTTGACGGCCCCGCTTCGGTGGGACCGGCTTTAGCAGTGGCCGACACTTCCTGCAACTGCTGGAGAAAGAAGACATTTATAATAACAGCGATAGCAAATGCTGATGTGTCATATATACAGGTCTAACTTGTGATATTTTTCAAATAGATGAGATTGCTCACTTACCGACGGATGGGGTTTCTGCTCTGCGTCCTTGTCTAAACCGTCTTGAGAGCAACTGGACATCTGTGTAATCAGAAAACAAAATCTGTGGTAGTTCACAACGTTCAACGCCGTGCATGCATCTTAGAGGAGAGCGTCAAGGAAATACCGCCCACCTGCACATCTTTATTAACACGAGCCAACAGCTCTTCCAGTTCATTCGGCCTAAAGATCTCCCCAGTGTAGAAGCCCATGTCTAACTTGCGCTTGATGGTTGAATTCCAGTGATTCTTCACGGCATTGTCCGTCCTGTCAATAAATATTATGATGTGAATTCTCAAAAAAAAAGAAACGCTTTCTTTTCCGCACACAAAACCGTGTCTATAATCCTAAAATCATCCTCTGGGCTAATCATAGCACAGAGAGAGGTTATTTATTAGTGCTGCACAACACATAATTTCAGCATTGACATTGGGATGTGCGCAATAATCACATCTGGAAGTGGAATGTAAAGTAAGGCAGATAAACTCAAAAAGTAATTTGCACAGTTGTGCTTCTTGATCACGTAGAAGTCTGTCTCCTGGAACATGGTTTACTCTGAGTCAAGGCTCCTGGAAACAGAGTCTTTCTTTATTTAAAGCAATTTTAACAATTTCCCTGAGATTTATAAAGCTTTATTCTATTCTATTCTATTCTATTCTATTCTATTCTATTCTAATCCTTTTCTCAAGAGACAGGGCTTGTTGACATGCAGGCCTCATATGTATACAATGAAATTAGTGGGAAAAGGGAGAGAAACACTAAAAAGGAAGATGTGGTTTCAAGAAGACATGCAACATAAGCTCTATGAAAATAGTTCAGCTACAGAAAGGATGATGCTGACCAGGTCAGGTACTCTGCCAGCAGTCAGTGTCTCTTAATTGTTAGCACGACTCATTTGTTTTGACCATTTAAATTGGCACTATAAAGCTGTCTGATGGCAAAGATCTGAATGCAATCCAAAAAAATAGATATTTCAAATGTCTTTGTGTTACAAAATATCAGAAATTATTTTATTTCAAGGCAGATGCAATCCCCTACAAAAGCATCCCAACATATATGGCAGCAATAACAAATATTGTTAGTTTTCCCCTCAATATTGCACAGGTCTACTATTTACCTTCCAGGGAGCAGCTTTGCAATCTCGGCCCAGCGGTTTCCAAGCAGGCGGTGAGCCTTGTAGATGATGAGGTCCTCCTCGGCTGTCCACGATGACTTCTTAACGCTGGGATTCAGGTGGTTGTGCCAGCGTTCTCTACACTGCTTCCCCAGTCTGCCTTTGAGATGTTTGGCCACCATTGCCCACTGCTTGTTGCCGTAGAGGTTCACAAGCTCTATGACCTGGGGGAGATAAGAGTGCATTTAAACACAACTTATTTTCAAGATTCAAGATACGATGTTGTCATTATACATGCGTGTACAACAAAATTAAGGTGCACAGTCAGGACACGGACTCATAATAAAGAGAGAATAAATAACAATAACAACAAAACAATGCACATCCCTCATACAACAACATCCAATCACTGATTCACACAACACTCTTTCACCAGTCACGCTGTCTCTACTGGGTCAGATTCCAACTCCATGAACTGCTAACTACCAACCTTCTCATCCTCCTCTTTGGTCCAAGGACCTTTAACCAATTCTGGATCCAAAACCTTAAACCAGCGGTGCTGACACTGGTGTTCAGTGTGATTCTAAACGAGACAAAAGAAGCTTCAAAATGCTGATTTGTGTCGACAATAAAACAGCCAACGAAAAAGAAAAGTTGGTCAAGCTCACTGGTATGTTGCCGGCTATGTACTTCCAGTCATTTGGACCAAGTTTTTGAACCAGCGCCTTCAGCCGATCGTCCTGTAAACATGAATAAATGAGGACGTTCATGTTGGCTGAGAACCACATGCCGGATCAGGTTCTAATCCTAAGTAGGCTTTCTCATACAATGACTTTAGTGCATGACAGTAACATACAGATTAAAAGCAATGGAAAGACAGTCACCTCCTCTTGTGTCCACTTCACTTTCAGCTTGCCACCGTCCCTCTGCTCTGCCACATCCGAGTCAGTGTCCTGATGCAGGGCCTCCTCTCCATCCTCACTGAGAAACAAACAGCTGTGATGTGCATGAACACAGCTGACAGAGAGGCCCGACCCGCCCTAGTGGTATGCTGACGACAACTGGACAATCGGGTTTACTTTTAATTTTTTTTATGCGTAACTGGGACTTCAATAGCCATCACACTTGACTATCAGGGAAATACAACCGTTTAAAGTATGTTTCTGATGGGTGCGTTTGGCGATTTATTCAACGCAATCCGGAAAAAGGGCGGCACAACATGATACGGTTAGGCCAAAACAGTTAACTTGAAATCAAAGGAGCACCTTTAACGCTGTACGTTTAAACAATAACCCCCCCGGAAGGTGATTTTTAAACAGATGCTAAATGCTAAAGTTAGTTCACATAGCAAAAATCTTACCCGCGCGGCCACCAAGACATTTCCCTCTGTTTCTGTTGTTTACGGTCAGACGGTGAGTTTCCCTGCCGCCGCTGCACGTCATGTGAATACGTGAATATTCGGTGTTATATCGTCGTATTCGGCGTGTTTAATCCACGTTTCTGCGGCCCTGTGGCGGAGATGGAGGCTCGGCGAGGCTGTGTCGAGTTGTTGTCCAGCCGGAGAGCAGCTGTGGCGGAGCGGCCGGAGAGTCCGCGCTCCTCGATTCCTATCTCGCGCCCTTCTCTATCGTAGGAGCAGGCTAGTGACGTAGTGCGCAGTAGATGTGCGCAAAGGTAGGACGCACAACTCGCAAAGGGCGTCAAAACACAGTCATTAGACGTGATGTAGCGACACGACCCGAGTTTCTTTCCATCTTTTCTATTTTATGATCATATACAACCATATATTTGTTTCACCGAAAAGCCAAAATGACACAACATGAGAAATGCAGTGCGTAAAAAGTGGAAAAGAAATGAGATAATTACGATAAACTACTGAAATATAATCTAAATAGTGACCTCTTGAATCCTGTAGATTGTCACATATAAACACCACTGGATCATTGTTTATCAAATCAACCAAATCTAAAAACAGTTCCCACCTGACCCCCTCAGAATTAGCTCTGTGTCTTCAATCCTGTCCTGAAGATGGCCCTGGTATCAAAACGCAGCTAAAAATGAGACCTTTCACTTGCTATAATTTGTTTTGACCAAGCACCTATCCCACGTGCTGATATAACCCTTAAAATTCACCCAAAATGCACTTTTTAAAACTTTTCCCTGGTGAATTATCACAAAACAGATAAAACATCCATGGTACCAGTGCTTGTTTCTATGACTCTGTGTCATAGACTTTAAATTGGTGCAGTTTTGCCACTAAAACTATGTGGATGATAAAAAGGTACAAACTAAACAGATCATTTACTACAACCAAAAAAATCATCTTAGTTGAAATCAGATGGTCACTGAACAGACAGAATTAATCTGCAGTAGTTTTGATAACTGGTCAATAACTTAAACAATTATCATTTAAAAACATTATATATTCTCTGATTCAAGGTTCCTTTTTGTCTACATAAATTAAGTATGTTTGGGCTTATGAGAAGTCAAAATCTGAAATGTTGGGCTGTGGGAAATTGGTATAAATGTTTTTATACAATTTAAAAAACATTTAAAGACTGATTAAAGGATTCATTTCATTTAAAAATTATCATTTTTGTGAGTCAAAATTAGCTGTAGCCCTGATATCATTTATTTGTCTCTATGTAAGTGGTCCGAAAATTGACAATAAAAGTCAAAAGCAGACTCTCTGAAGCAATCATGACTCCTGTTCCTCTTCAAGGCTGATCACCTGCTCAGTCTCCAGCCGTGTCAATTAACAAACAGCTCCAACAGTTTAAAACCCACCTGCAGCTCAGCTGACAGTGACGGACAATGGAAACAATGGAGAGAGCCTTTGTCGTTAAAGGTAAGAAAACTGGTCTTATCCGGAAAATGACTCATTTCTGTCTGATCAGATGAGTGGATTCTAAGTAGTGCCTAACATTTTACTTTCTAGATATGAAAAGCTTTGAGTGCTCTTCTCCGTCAGAGCTTGACAGAAAGTTTTTTGGGGAGCAGAGTTTGCTGTCTGCTTTGTCACCAGAGCAACTCTCCATATCAAGAGTGTCAAATGACACCGCGGCGGATGGATCTGACTCCAGAGTGTCCATCCTCGCTTCTCTCTGCCTGTCATCAGACACCATTTCTCCCTGTCGGGGGTTTTCACTGAATAGCTTGAACACTCAGGAGACTGCCAATTGTCACCTGGTGGTACCTTTGCAGGGAAAGTCCTCGACTCCCCACATGCTCCTTCAAAAGCCAAAGACGGCTGCTTGTTTCGACCAGTCGTACGGCGATCTCACAGCCTCCCAGATGTCATGGGACGTGTCCTTGATAAAATCAGAAAGCAACAGCCCCAGAATCTACATGGAGTGCAGTATACAGGAGCAGACATGGAGTCCAAAACCCCAACATTCACAAGCTGAAGTTTCTCCCTGAAAAATGTAAAGATGCTCAGTTGAATTTTTCTAAAACAATAATTTTATCCTCTATTAAACTCTGCAAATCCATGTTCTAACTCCTACATTGTATTTTGGTTTTACAGGATCCATGTGGGTGATTTAACGCAGAGAGCTCTACATGTTTTATTACTAAATGTTTTAAAGAATTGAATATTTTAATAAAGGAATGAATAACTTTATTTGCTTTAGTATATTCTTACAATAAAATACAAATACAATAAAATAGAAAATTATAACTTTTTTTTTTCATAACTCCAACAGTATCATGTCCTTCAGCCCTCTGTCCTTCATGATTATGTACACAAATCTGTTAGTCCCTGTACAGCATGCTGGAAACATTCCACGTGTTGCTGGAATCCAATCACAATGGAGCGAATGGTGCTTCTGTGTCGATATCATGCTCCTGCAAGAGGGAAATTAAATTTTTAGACAAGATCTTCAAAGCATAATAAAGTCAGCTGTAAGAGATTTTAAGGGCACTCACCTGATTGAGCTTCTTGAACTCGACAACCTGGAAGAAAATGTGCTCCAAGATGTTTTTGCCGTCTCTCTGCTCTTTATCCAGTTTGGGAGTCACCCCCAGAATTTCGCCACATTTCCGCACGTAAAACTCAAGATCATCATCTGTACCTGTGAATGGAAGCAGTTTAAAAACGACAGCACGTACCATGGTACTTCCAAACCAGTTAATCATTTAGTAAAGTGCTCAACTTACATTTATTGGTGAGCTGTGCTAGTCGCACTTTCTCAGACGAAAATGTTTCGTCTAGATCGAACAGGTCCAGCATTGGTGGAGGCAAATCATTTAAAGCAGGCGGAAAGACCTGAAAGACAAGACAACACCCGCTTCTGGGTTTAAAGAAAAGTGCTGGCGTAGTATTTCAGTTTACTACATGCTTTAGAAATTCTACGTATGTACAAACATCAGCTCAGACTGGACTGAAACTTACAGCAGGTTGAAGCTGAGGCAGAAGGGTTTCAAACTGCGGTGTGATCAGCTGAAGTGGCTCATCTTTGACATTCAGCTGCTTGTAAGCACTAGGGGGAAAAAAAAAACTGTTTTAGCTTTCAAGGAAAACAGCAGTGACTGAAGAGGAAAGGGGATGAGGTGTGTTTTGCATTGGCACCTGATGACTTGGGGTAAAGCGTCAGTTGATAAATTGAACAAAGACATATCGAAGAGTGACGTGAAGTCCCTGGGGTTTTCATCACCCTCTTGTAAGCACACTCTGAGCTGTTCTGACAAGCAGCCTGTATCTGGCAACATGGTGTAATCTGTGATCTAGGGGACAATCGAGATGAAGAAAACATGGATCGGGGTTAATTTAAAAGACAATCACTGATGCCATTCTCTTGTCATGTAAATTACACTTCCTCACTTCTGGGTCTTCTGCATCAATCTGGTTCAGCTGAATAGTGTCAGTCATGAGCCACTGGAGCACAACATCCTGGGGCAAAATGAGGCAGATAAAAATGGGCTTAAATTCCAAAGGATTACATTTAACACTCTTGTACCGTTGAGATGAAATAATTAACAAAACCAATTTGTTAATGTCACCTGAACTCACCATGATTTTACTGTTCTCCTCTTTGTCTATGTACTGGTCACTGAACATGTGGCAGGAACCCAAAACAACCAGTTTGCCGGATTCCTTCAGAAGACATGAGACATCTTTAAGCAGCTTCACATCACAAGTGTACATTCATAAACGTTTTATGGTGAGGGAATGAGTATAAAAACCGCACTGGGCCTCTGACCTTGCCTTGGTAGAAGGCCAGGACGGGCCTGTTGAGGGGAAAGCAGACCGAGCCGGTTGAAAGAACAGCTGCAGCAGGCTTCATGACGCTCAGCGTGGCACCATATGGATAAACAAATGTGAGAGCCCTGCACAAATAAAGACAAAGGCTCAAGTTCGAAATCAGCTCTTAAAGCCTAAATCCAAAGCTTTATGCAAAAATAAGGATATAAAAGCAGATAACTTACTGTGAATTGTTTCCAACATTTTCATCTTCAATGATTCCTGTGACCACTTTACCAGCAGCACGGCTGATCTCTCTAAACAGGAATGAGGTAGAAAAATTGTAACGGTGAATCAGCTTATAGAAAAATGAAAAGAAGTCGATATATTTCCAATAATATACCAGTACATACATTATATATGTGACTGATTCATAAATTAGTGTTTTTATGACAATAAAATAGCCTATAATGTAAAGACAAACCTGTTCAATACGCCATTGGACACAAGCGCCTCCTTGGGATGGAAGTATTTGCAATACACATTCCTCACAACAGCATCTGTAATAATAACAGAGAGGAAAGAAAGCATGCACCACACAGTTAAACACAACTGAAATAACCATATCTGCAATATCTGCACAGATGAAGTTTAGTTTCATTTCAGCATCTACCATTGTTGACCATTATTCCAAACTCCTCCAGGAGAAAATTGATGTTAGTGTCATATTTCATCTCTCCTCCTTCACCGAGCATGACCAAGATATTTCCTCCTCCATCCAGGTACTGCTTCAGCACCTCCATCTGAAATAAAACATAACAACAGTGTGAAAACATGCTCACAATACAGGTTTATTTCAGACTGGTTGGCAAGCTTGCTACTTTACCTCTCCCAAGCCTTGTATAACATTACATCGATTGATGCCTCACCTCTGACGCTGTGAATTTCTCCCTTGGGCCTGCAGTTATCCACAACTTGACGCCCTTCAACCTTTCCAACGACAGCTCTTCCTTCATACTAGAAGAGACAGCATGCATTTTGCAATTGAGGTTGTCTCAAACTGCTGAACTATGAAAGATGTTGTAGCTAAAGCCAATCCAAGTATCCAAAGATGAAATGCAACTAAGTGCATTTACTTAACTACTGCTCTTCAGTACCAAGGTGGAGTAATATCTACTTGAGTACTACCATTATGCAATATTTAATACTTCTACTTTTCATTCCACCACACATATATTTCTGACTTTGTTCACCAGTTACTTTGTATGACATGAACACTGAAAGATGACTTCAATATCAAGTTGAACATAACATATGGTACATTACTACAAATTAACGACTAAACTACATATCATATTGCATCTATTTGTTTCCCTTCCATTCAGTACAACAGTAAAATGCTAAAGTAATACTATAACAGCAGAACTGGTACGAACGTAGCACTCACGAAGATCTTTTTTCTGACCACACAGACAGGTTAGTGTCGCTACACAAACACTTTACCTTTGTATTTTCCATTGTGCTCTTAGTCTCTTCTGCATGGATTTGTAACCATTGTTCGTACTGAACATCTCCCTTTTAGAAGCATTGAAGATCACAGAGTTGTACTGTTCTTTTTCCATCATGTCCTTGGTTCAGTCAGCAACGCTGGCTCTTACCTGCAACCATACACCTGGAAAAAAGGTTTGAACTCCTTGTTAGACCCCTTTGGAAAAAAAAAAAAGTACATTACTACTAGCTTTGCCAGCTACAGATTGAGTGAGCAAGGTTATTCACCAGATTTGACATCCTCGTGAATAATTAACGTAGTTGTGGTAGTCGGTAGATCAAATTAACGGGTTAAGCATCCATCGTCGTATGCTAGGATGCTGTTAGCAAACATGGCTAAGTAGCTCGCTAGCTTACATGCTAGTCAGAAGCTAACGTTATTGTTACCCGCGTAAGTGCTTGCGAGCTAGCTGTAGTTGCTTGGCGTGTGTGTTGCTGTTTACAGTTATTTTCTTTTTTTGTTTAAAGACAAAGCTATGGCAACTATTCAGCAAGTTAACGTCAACAACTTACCACAAAGATCTCCTAGAAGCGGTGCATGCTGGGGGACGGCGTAACTATGGGCGCTAACCGCCTAGCAACAACGTCGTCAAGCGCGCTGTCAAAACAGTGGGCGCTCAAGTTTTAGCACGTCTTTTTACCACGTTTTACTGTATTTCACAGTGACACGAGTAGGGCGATAAAGCGCTATAGAAATAAAACGAATACTTCCAGTTTGGTTGATAAATAGAAAAAAAAACAACCAGTGTTAACTAGTTTGCTGTCAATGAGGTGCTTGTAAACATTTTGTATTGTAGGGTTTTTACTAATCGTCATTAAATACAATTGTAAACACAATATATGTATTATTTGCACCGATTGAGTTAGCTGTGGTGTCATTTCAAGTACTTCAACTCACTCATAAATGTTTTTGTCATATTTAACTTCCCCTCATTCACCAAGCATGACAAAGACGTGTCTTCTTTCATTCAGGTAACACAAAAGACTGATCAACACCTTTGGACTGAATGTCACATAATCAAAGAAAAACATCTGATTTGGGGTGTTGTACCAAAATGTCTCTTCCAAAAATGGTAGATTTTATTGAGTCTATCAGTGTGTTTACCTGCAATGCTCCACTCATTAAGTAAGACAAGTGGTAACAAAGAAAAAACAAACAAGCAAAAAAAAACCAAAACTCTCCCTATGTGCTTTTGCAAGTTATATTCATGAATAAAGTTAGAGGTGGACTCTTCTTAAAATTTCCATTATTTTATTCCAATATGACATTACAAACAAATGCTGCAGATTGCTTCAAAATGACATTCCCACTGGAGGAAGATTGGGGATTTTTAAAGGCAAACAGGTAAAAACTTCTTCACAGAACATGCAAACTGTGAAACATCAGTATTAGTTTGGACTTTTACGTCTTTCTGTCTGAACTTATCACATATATGTTATCAAAGTATGAAGCAACTTTTGGTGTCAGCTGCTGACTTTAAATCACACGTTTAGACAAAACAAGGGTAATACCGCCACAGCTTCAGCCGTCTCCTCTAATAGTTGTTTGATAAACAAAGAAAAGATTGCCAGAAAAAAGATATATTCCATGAGCTCCAAATTTGTGCCAAAAGATACCAAACCCTCTGTAAACATCTCAAACACACAGCTCTGGGATGTATCATTTTTGTTAAGTGCATCGTACAGAAACGGTCAGTCTCGAGAGGCTGATCTGGATCGAGAGCGAGACCTGGAGCGGGAGGCAGAGCGCTTAGCTGGGGACTTGGTGTCGTTGCCAGGAGGTGATTTTGAGGCACGTTTCTCATTTCTGCTCTCCGAACGGGAACGCGAATGGCTTCTAGACTTCTTACTGGAAGATTTCTCCTTGGAACGGCTCCGGGATTTCCGCTCGGCTTTGGCTTTGGATCTGCTCTTGGAGCGTGACTTGCGAGTGTCCGAGCGAGAGCGAGATTTTTTGCTCTTGGAGGGGCTGTGAGATTTGCGAGTGTGTGACCGAGACTTCTCTGGAGATTTAGAGTGGGACTTTCTTTTTGATCTGGAGCGTGACTTCCTGGAGTGAGATCGCCGCTTGCTGCGAGATCGAGAACTGCAAAAGACAATAAACAAAGCAATTACACTATTAACCTATCAATCATATGAGTTGGTGCACTTCTGAGCATCACAGACTTCCTGGTTTCTAAACTTTATTTCCTCACTCTGATTTAAGACTTTGAGTTCAGCAAAATTCACATTCATAGCAGGGGGGTACTTCATCAACACAATGCTGCCTCTTCATTTAAACATCAAAAAGCCCACTAGAGCTATAGATATCTTGGAGAGAAAGTACCTTCTCTTTAAAAAGGTGGCACTGAAAATAAAATGTCAGAAGAAGAGGCATGAGATCAATGTGTTTGAAATATCAGCTGATGAAAACATACTTGAAGACTAAGAGTTTAAATGTCAGTGTGTTACAACTAAATGCAGCTGAACTGCGATTTAAAGTGTAAGAAGCATTTTAAAAATCGCTGCACTGACTGTGAGCGAGACCTGGACCGACTGTGAGAGCTTCTACTTCTTCTGCTATGGGAGCGCCGCCTGCTACGAGATCTGTTGGTTAAAAAAGAAAAAAAGAAAACGCTGAGTAAAGAAAACAAAACACACACAAAAAAACACGATGACATCTGAACGCCTCGTTCACCTGGATCTGCTGCCAGAATACGAGCGCCGCCGCCGAGGTTTGTCTTCCACCAGACGGATCTTCCTTCCGTTAATGTCCGTGCCGTCGAGTTTTTCCAAGGCTCGCTTCATGTCTGAGCGGGATCGAAATTCGATGACGCCCTCGTTGGCTCGTCCTTTGTGAGCATCGGCATAGGTTACTTCCCCTGCTTGCCGCATAAAGTCCTGTGAAGACACAAATACGCCGCTTTGGCAGTAAGAACATTTTGTTTGCCTGCACAACAGCTTTCAGTCTCATCAGACACTGCCTCTCTCCTCCCTCCACCCAAAGCATTACACGAACACTCAGCTTTTCAAACAGGAACATTATGATCCCTTGTACATCCCAAGCTGTTTACAACATGTACTAAGGAATTCTGTACAGTCTAAGGGAAATCATTTACACACTCCTGTTCATTGTAAATACTTCTCCTGCTTTCTTACTTTTCTTGTTCTCCCTTAGACGTTTTATCCATTTCTACTTTTCTACTAATCAGTGTTTAATGTTATGCACCAAAACATCACTTCAAATTCCTCATAAGCTGATTCGGACAGGTCCTGTTTGAGTTCGACAACATTTGTCTGTTTCCCAAATCGCACATCACCATTAAATTGCCTTCAACTATTGGATTTGAAACAAAGAAGTGAAGTTAAAGCACCAACATTAAGCTTGAATTTCAGCGCTTATACACACACAAGATGCGCGCTGCAGGAGCTTTACACTTGAACTAATGCTTAGTGATGATCAGGGGGCCGTACAATGAAGCAAGTCTGACATTAATCAGCTCGAGAAAAACGACAGCCCCAGTCAGAGACAACAGGCAGCACAACGGTGGTTATCGACTTGTTAACTCAGGCTTTCTGCTTCAGACTCCATCACGTCCAACCTACTTAAGCCAACGGCTTGTTGTAACGGGGAACAATGAGAAATAGAAAAATGCATGATGGTAAAAAAACAAAAAAACAAAAACGCTGCTATTGCAAATGATACAAGACAAGAATGCTGATTTCAAAAACTGTTAACTGGGTTAATATATTCATTTTATCGATTAATGCAGCTGCTTATTTCTAACTGGCAGGTGCACATTAGAGCGGTTAAACTTCATTTATTTCCTAATCAAAGTAAAATTTGTCCATATTCTAATCTGTGTTCCATCAGCTGCAGGACCAGCAGTGTAAATCAACTTGGCAGCAAATCAGGACCAAACATACAAACGTATTTACGCAATTTCTGCATCACCAGCTGAATACATGTCGGATTTCTATGGCAATGCAACGGATACAGTGTGTTAGATTGTAACTGCACGGCTTCATTCAGTGATATTAGTAACGTGGACATCAACATGTTTGCAGAACTAACATATTCCTTCAGCTGAGAAGCATGAGGAAGCGATTTGGTTGCTCCTCCAATTTAAACTCCCAACCAGTTTAGCTCCGCAGCATAAATTACCATGTTGATCTAGCCAGGTTAAAAGTCAACTTTATCTTTATAATGCTCAACATACCTGCTAATACACTAATCTCAATTATGGTAAATGGTCTGCACTTATATGCAGTACAATGTGTTTCTCATTCACCCATTCACACACATTCATACACCAGTGGTGACAGAGCTGTCATGCAAGGTGCTGCCTGCCATCGGGAGCAACTTAAGGTTCAGTGTCTTGCCCAAGGACATTTCGACTGTGGAGGGGTGGGGGATCGAACCACCAACCTTGCGATTGGAGGACAACCCGCTCTACCACCTGAGCCACACCCACCCATAATTAGTAGTACAGCCCTCTGGACTATGAACACGTCACTGTTTAGTGCTACAAACATCTGGCTTCCCTCAACTGTAAGTGCAGGATCACGACCGTGTCGCACCTTGCGGGTTGGACTATGATAAATCTGTGTTCGAATTGCTATGCTCTCCACTCAATATGGAACGTATTTAATGTAGCACTATTTATTCAATATATCAGAAAGATGGCAAATGTTTTCTCCTGTTTAAATTCCCAGGAAGCTGTTATCCTAACCCTGCACACCGAACCATCACGGATCCCTTCTCACCTTAAGGTCCTGCCAGCTGCACCTGCTGGACAGGTTCTCCACAATGAGGCGGTGTTCGGTGCGTACAGGCGGCCCGTACTTATCTCTGCCAGAGCGATTCCAGTTGCTGTAGCCGCTACCTTTAAAAAAGACAGGAAAATTAACGCTTCATTTTTAGCCACAGGTTTTTATTTTTTTTAAAAAAAGGTGAGGACTCCGAACTGGAATAAATAATCTACAAAATCACTGGACTTCTCTTTTTTCTGTGCCTAAGCCTCCACCTTTACCTATAAACAGACCGCTAACAGCTGTCAAGCTTTGCCAGTTTTCAAAGAGAATACAAGGGGATTAAAGATACCAGTGGTTTTTAGTCCTGATCCTGTGGGCCCAGGGTCTCATTGCTTTTCTATATCACTGGGGATCACGTAAACTTAGCATGTAAAGTGACAACAACGAGGAAATGTGCAGCACTCTTTGCTCCATGGACCAGGATTAAAAACCACTTAATTAAGGATGACACAGCAGCTCTTGTCCCTTACCTGTGTTTATTTGTGGTTTCTTTCAAGTACAGCAACAACTGCCTCTTCATTTGACCACAGCTAGACTAAAACCTACAAAGATTTCATTTTACTAAAGGTTAACAACCAGAGACATGGTGTGTGATTATGAGAGTCACGTACAAAGTCTAAAACTTTATGAAATAGGCTACTGTTATGTTGGTGCCAACAGTTTTAGATGAGGAACAATTGTTGCTATCTCATTTTTAGTTGTCAAACATAATAGCAGTTCCAAAATTCTTTACATCAAACTTTGCTTTACGCTTAGTCAAATTAACAACTGTAGCCTGAAAACCTCTCACAACTTGACTTATATATAACATCTTGGTGTTTCCTCACTTCCTACTCTCTAGTCTTACTGATCATAATAACATTCTTCGTTTTGCACTCTATCCATTTGTAACTTAAGACAAAGATGACACCTACCAAAAGCGCTTTGTTTGCACTACAGAGAACTGGGAGCCAGATTAGTGGCTGAAACATGTGTTGGCTTGGTCTTCTGCAACATGTCTTGCAACAGTAAAACCAACAGGATTCCTCACCATCACCCTGGTCTATTGGAAAAGGATGTTGTCATCATGGCTTCCGGTTATGTCAACCAATGGTCAAAGGGCAAAGGTCTCACACACACATTGTAAGGGGAAAGCCCAGGCCAAACGGGTCAGGCAGTCATCTTTACCCTCATTGGACTCGGACTCAGCCCGCAGTGGACTCTTTCAAATTGAAACATCAAGCACTTTGTTAATGTTGACTTCAAACTGGAGACATCGAAGCTTCACAAGTCTTACCTTTGCTCTAATCAATGTTACTCATGGAATTTTAACACACATGTCTTTCACTGTTTAAAGCTGTGTTTCTACCTGCCATCAGGCACAATGGACTTTGAGTGCTAATGGGAACAGGCATCTAATAAGCATGTTGTGGTGTGACATGTCACATGAGTACTGCCAGCTTTATTGAAACAAGTATTAAGACACAGTGAAAGTAAATATCATCACGTTAGACTGATCAGAAGCCCACATTTAAATAATATTTTTGCGCTTAGATGTGCTGAACTTACTCCGTCCGCCAAAGCCGTATCCGTCTCTCCTCGGTCCACGGGCATGCTCGATGACGACGCGCTCCCCACACAGCTCCTTTCCGTTCAGTTCATACACAGCGTCATCCGCATCTCGCATGTCCTCAAACTCCACAAAGCCATACCTACAAGATGTATACGTGCAGGAGTCAAAGCAGAGAGTGGTTGTTCCTTTCATTATCCATAATGTCTTCGTCTTCAGATTCATAATCAGTTCTATAAAGTGAAGCCACATAAAATCTTGAATCCTTTCCTGTTTTATAGACCTGCTGTCACCAACTTTAATTTTTTTTATTCGTTCAGCCTTAAGTTAAACTCACACACTCATCAACCTGTATCAGTCCTCCCCGTTCTGCAAAAAGAATCGCTGAAACCTTGGACATTGAACAATAATAATAATAATTTAATTTGCAATATTATTTTGTCAAGGCTCTGTTCCACATCAGTGTCAGTGTTGTGTGCAATATTTCCTTATCACATGGGGTGCTTCATTATCATGTGGAATGCTACTTTGGCATCTTTCTATTCTATTAGACAATTATTTTCATGCTATTTTGATTATAACAGATCTAATAGGTCAATAAAATTTCAATATCAAAGGTTCAGTGAATGCAGCAACAGTGCCTGTGTGCAACTGAAAGCAGCATTAGATCAACATGTGTCCCGTCCATAGATATCATCACAGAGAATGAAGAAGACATAGTGGAAATAAAAGTTTCATTTGTTGCCACCAGCTGTTTGTGGGAGTATTTCCTCTGAGTTTATTAGATACCTACAGCATCAAACAGGGGCAGAGTGTCTCTACAGAGAGAGAGAGCTGTGTGCTTTTAAACACAACACAATTCAGCAGTAACTTCATTAATGGCGAAAAAAAAAAATACAAATTATCCCCGACATGAATACTAGATTGGTTAGGATCTAACAGGGAAGTTGTCACACACAGAGTGACTGATAGAAACTGCTGTTAAAACATTAATTACACAAATGAATCTGAGCTCCAACACAGCTGAATATCATTTTACTTGATCCATTTACCAGTTGGTACGGAGAATGTGCAGCTTCACAATATAGTATTTGCAGCAGTGTTATTAATGTGTGTACGGGTGCATTAGAGAAAGCAACCTCTTATAATATAACATAGATAATACTTTTTATCATGCCATAAAAAGCTGTAGTTTGAGAAGTTATGATCACACATGGATGGCATTTTGAACTCATATTGGATGTTTTGCCCTTAAACACTGTTTTTCTGGAGCTATTTCAATCAACATCAGATAATTCTAACATTAATTGTAAAAATCAGAAACCACAGTGTATAGGAGTGTGATTGTTTTCACTCTTGTGCTGACATGGTTTTCAGCTCGACTCACTACAACAGCATGGCAGATTTCCTGGTATTCTATTTTTGCTGGTGGTTTTTGGATGGCACCCCAACAGTTTCTCAGGCCCCATCTGGCCACGAATGTATGGAGACGCCACTGATCAAGTGGTTGACAATAGTCAGTGTTGACATGCCTCAAGTTATGGATCTGTGTGGCTTCTTTATGACTTATTTTCGTTTTTCTACTCGTAGCATCATCACCAAACACTTCCAGACGTAACTTAGCCTTGCATGCAGAGTGCTTCGCTGGCGGCTAGCACATTTGTTTTAAACTAGCTAGTAGCATAACCTGAGCAGCTATGCTAATGCTAGCTACGTTAGCGCCGTTACCGGGCAATAATAATAATAATAATGATACTTATACTACTACTACTGCTGCTGCTAATAATAATAATAATAATAATAATGACCGTTTTGAAAACTGTGTACTCAATAAAAGCAACACGGGGCGTCTCTAGGGTTCCTGCTCAGGGCTACCGTTAGCATGAAGCTAGCTAGCATGCTGCTACGAAAAACGAGATTATCTTACCCATTTTTCAGGTCTATCTCTAATAATTTGCCATAACCGCTAAAAAATCTTTGAATGTCTTTCTCTCGAACATGATAGCTAAGCTTGCCGACGTATACGCGAGGCATCGCGGCAGATATTTAACAGGACTTCACTACAAGTTGAGGTGCAACTTGGGGTGAGGCACTGAAGGCCCGAGACACTGAAGGCAGCACACTTCCGGCAGAATTATTCACAACAAAAGTGACCAAAAACGCTGGCGTTAAAGCATCACATTTTACTTTCTGGTGTGTATCCAACGACATTTCGCCTCTACGATGTCCTTACACCATCATTTAATTTGGAGCAGCGGGACAAAATGCCCTCGCATCCAGCCATAATGCACAGCTGTGGAAAAGTTGCTGTCCAACTTTTTGTGTCCAGGACGAGTCATTTCAGTTTTTGTCAGAATTAAATGTTTACTGCTGTAAAATATTTTTTGACTGAAAATGTTTATACTCCAGCAGCCTGGCTGATCATTTGCACATATTTTGGAATCCAATCCAATCTTACTGGAGAGAAATAACATCATAAATGAAATCCATTATGAGATTGAACATACTTTCTGCCCACCTGTTGACAGCTGTTTTGATTTTGCTCCACTGCTCATCAGCAAAGTGCTGTGATTTATCCGGGACAGATTTGTTTTATTAAAGTATTCTTTTCAACCACAATTCAAAAGCAATATCTTATTTAATTGAATTATAATTTAGCAAATTTTTATTTATTTTTATTTTTTTCAGTTTCTAGTTATTTGAGTGACTCCTGTGAATTTTGCCTTTTCTTTAATGGTAGGGTCTGAATACATTTGAGGATGACTGTATCTGGGAAATATACCAACTAAACTAAATACTCAGGACAAATACCGCCTTAAAATATTACTAGTCGCTGTCAAGAAAGCAATAACAAGGAAATGGCTAAACAAAGAAATACCAGCAAAAAGAGAATGGGTAACGATCGTGAAGACTGTGTGCTGACAAATTTAATAAGTATTGGTCCAAATGAGTGCCGTACATGAATGTTGTACAAGAAGACTTTTTGTGTTGACATATTATGAAACTTTTACTTTCTTTCTTTTAACAATTATTACAACATACTCCTTATTTATTTCTCTATCCCCTCTCTGATGTCTAAGTAAATTCCATATGTGCTCCAGATTAATATAGTACTAAAGATAACTATGGACTGCACCTAAATCACACTCGAGGCCCTGTTGAGACTTCCTCAGAGTCCTGCCCTGATGACATTCTCATGCTTTCATCCATTCACAGTTATATCGCCACCTTCTGGCAACGGGAAAGGACAAGTTTTATGCTTGTATTTGCTATTATTAGCCGGTTGCCCATGTTAACCTCAAATGTGGTTCAGGTTACGGTTAGGTGATTGTCACTTTGCACACAGTGCATTTCTGCCACAACCCCGACGTACACCACACCTCGACTTGTGCCACATCCGACACGTGTGGAAGTGCGAGAGCCCATTCAACGCTGCTTGCAGCTTTAATTTCTTACTGGTCCTTTAAAATGGGAAAAAAAGTGAAACATTTTCAAAGCAGGATGATATCAGGACCCTAGAAAGTCCTCGTATGTATATATGTATGTGAATGTATCCATGATTCCTAGTGAAAATGCAGTCTTTTGTTGACAATTTTTGCGGCCTCTAATATCAGCTGAATCTGACAAGCAACGGTTTTTGCTATTTTCACGTCAAAATGATCATGTGGACTCATACATAGGACTCTAAGAAGTGGCGTGCAAAGGCGTCCATGTGCTGCAATTGCATGTGCAAGATTAAAAGTTGCTCCTGGGTTGTCTGGGTGCTCAAACTGAACAAAAACACACATAAAGTGCTCTATTCTGATATATTTTTAATCAAAGAGTGTCGGAACGACTGTCCTCGAGATTCACTTCACCTATTCCATTCTTTTCAAGAGGCATATCTTTACTTCCCATGAAAAAAACAACAACAATTAGTAGTTGCACGACAGCCATTTATGCTCCAACTTTGTGGAACACTGATTTAAAATGTCACAATCCAGTGTGTTGTTTTAATGTCACCTACTTTCACAATTAGTAGCAAGCTGTTGTTCCGCCATTAGTCTACTAACATCAACACTGACTGTATATTTCTTTCAAAGGCGTTACAGGACAGGATGGGAAACATGTCAGAACAGCAACACTTGAAGCATCAGACCTAAGCCTATGCAACAGAATCAGTTTCATGTGTGAGAATCTTTAAAGCACGTCTCCTCAACAAATGACAAGGTTGCTTTGTTGACTGAAAATAACATCTGGTTTTGATTCTTAATTTAAAAAACAAACAAACATTAAATTAATAGTTTTAAGCTTAGAAATAATATATTAGTACATAATGACATTAGACAATGTTTCTATAGCTTGCTGGTGACTGGTTTCACTCTCAGGACACCCTCCTGTGCACACGAGGCAGCCAGAACCCCGTCTCTCCTCCATAGTCGGCCTTGTACCAGTCCCCTGCTGCTCCCTGTAGGACAAAACACACACACAGCATGTCGGGCTTACAGTGGGAATGCATAAGAAGTGTCATCTGAGTCCAAGCTTTTAAAAAGGAAAATGGGGTGAATAGGCAATAAGTGCAGCCTACATTAAAGTACAGCAAAGTTAAAAGCAAATGCACGAACACTAGAACTCAGATGGAGCCCAGTTTGTAAACTTCAGTGGGTAAAAATATCTAAAAAAATCTGTTTTCATTAATATTTTATGATGGATACATTCACGAGAGCAACTGAAAATACTTTAGACAATATTCACAAAGTAAATCTAACTACAGGGATAGTTAGAACTCAGTAATCAAGTAGTGCATCTAAAAAAGGTCCCATGATGTTCACCTTTTAAAGACACACTCAGAGCTTCAAGATTCAGGTTAAGGAAAGTTCATGTAGTGGAAGCAGGCCTATTTGTGGTGCTGTGACAGACAGACAGAAGAAATAAACTCCAGCACATGACACGTGGGCGACTTACTGACCTGCCCACGAGCTCTCGCACTCGTACAACATCCACTCATCACTGCGAAATGTGCTGTGAAACCACATTGCGTGGTCCAGGGAGGCAACAAACTGGGCCCTGTACTCGGGGTAAGGCAGCATCGCTGTGCCCAGTAGCGCAAAGTCTGATACGTAAGCAGCAACGCAGCAGTGCAGCTTCATGTTGCCTTCACCTACATGAACACACAGATAACACGCATCAACAAATATTCTTTAGACTCTATTACACATTTAATATTTTGCTTATATCTAACAGAAAGCTTTGTTTAGGAATCAAGCTCTACACATTGTGTTAAAAAACGCTATTCGGTATTGTGTTTGGTTAGGAGAAGTGTTTTTCACCGATATATCCTCGAGCTCGCCCCCAGAACAGCCTCCTTGGTTCAGAAGGAGTCATTCTATAAAAGCTTGATGGGTTGATGGGCTTTATCTCAATGGGAACCTCATTCGCCAGCAGTTTGTTGAGGCCTTTTTTGGCGTTCTCGGCCAGGTCTGGTTTACTGCAATACAACACACAGATATACACAGCACCACTGATCACATCCTGCTGGGTGAGAATCCTCATCAGCAAGGTACTTAATGGACATTTATTGCAAATGCAATTTTATTAATACAGCATAAGTGACGCCATTTGTTGTTAATGGAAACGCTCCAGACAGCAGATTATTTTAGCTTCTATCTGGAAACTAGAGATTATAAAGTACACTGAGCAAACACAGAAATGCAACATGCAATTGGTCTTCTTTTCTGACTTGGGGGGAAATTGTTCTGGTGAGAAAAGGATTCATTTCAGTCAACATTCAATAGTCAACGAATGCTTAATTCCATATGTAACAAAGAATGGATGGAATACTACCTGCTGCGTTTCTGTTTTTTTCAGGATGTGCACCGTACAGTGTTTGTTTTGTGTTCATTTGTTGACCTGCTCTGACTTCACACTTGGGTTATAACTGGAGTCAATTAAAGTAAAACTACACTCAAGCCAAAGCCACAAGATGGCACTAAAGCACAGACAGGTTTTACATTCTTCATGTGGTCTCACACAAAGAGTTAGGTAGAGTTAGTTTTCACGAGCGTCTTTTAATTTTTTAAGTATATTTTGTACTGTTATTGTTCTGTGTGTTAGCACAATGTACTGACAAATAACACAAACATGTCACTATTTAAAATAAATAAATAAATAAATAAAGTTATTGTACCTCAGATGAAGGTGGATAAGCTCCTCTACAGTGAGGAGGTCTTCAGGCGGAGGCACTGACGGCATGGTGAACTGATGCTGCAGGGGGCTCAGCTGCAGCTTTTGGAAGGATGCTTGGCAGATCAGTATAGGTTGTCCATGCTGGATGGCCTTCACTGAGCGCACTGTGAAACTGCGACCATCTCTCGTGCGGTCAACCTGGTACAGCACCGGAATCTTAGGATCCCCTGAAAAACGCCAAACGCCCAAATTATGGAGGACCACAGGTGTCACAGAAACAGTAATAAAGCATTTCATAGATAACCTAATGTACTACAAAAATAGGAATCAATACATTTTTTTTTTTTTTTCTGGCTCAGAATGATTAGTCAGACTACAGTAAGAGGCATGAAGTTCATGCATTTTCCGGTTTAAATGTATGTTTAAACGCGTAAGTACAATTAACAAACTGGCTAAAAGACACACACGTGCACACACTCTTGTAATCTTGGCTGCGGTGAGTCTCCTTTGGCACTAGTTGAAGCCTAATTTATATTCCTGGGTTGAATCTAGGCCTGGTTGAGCATTTACAGTGCAAAGACACTGCCAAAATGCTACTTCCCGGTGTTGTTTCTGTTCCACTCAGTTGAGTTTCTACTTCAAAAACTGGTGACTGCAACAGAGTGGGTCATGCAGAAAACACAGAAAAACTACAGAGGTGACTGAGCCCATGTGGCATATGGCTACCGTGGCTGAATGTTGGTTATTGTAATGAGTGTGACAGATACATTTTCAGCCTGTAACACATTTTAGCTTGTTTCACATAAGCACTATCTTTTTTCGAATCAGTATGTCACATTTACACAACGTCTTGCTGCCAGATGGCAAGCCCTGAAGCTGAAAAATGAAGAGACCAAACAAACACCAAAGTGCCAAAAACTGCAGTTCCTCAAATGGTCCCTGCAAAAGCAAATCAATTCCATAGACCCCCATATTAAAATGCTCAACTTTACAACAGAAACAAACATGTTTACTGTCTGCCACACAAAACTATTTTGATCTCTACAGATTAATTTCCAGTTCATGACGTCGTTCATCTTACCTGCTCGTACAAAGTAGCAGTGGAGGGAGTGGGCATAGAGATTGTCGCTGACGGATTTGGCAGCAGCCACAAGGGCCTGACCGATTATTTGACCTCCAAACAAACGCTGAGTTCGGGGCACCCAGTGGTGCGTCCCTCTGGGGAAAATTAGAGAAACTACTAAAAAAAAAACAGTTTCTGTTTTAATCTGTAAACCTCAATAAGGGTAAAACAACAACAGTTCTGCAACAATTCTGACCTTTTTTGATGGATAATATGTTTACTTCTAGAGATTAGGCCTACATTTCCTGATACAAATGGGTGAACAAAGTAATAGAAAAGGCTGTCAGTATAACTTGTGTAACAGTTTAAGGAGCAGGTCGGTGAATTATTTTAAACACTGCATCTGAATGTGTCTCTTTCAGATAAAGTGCACTAGCTGCACATGTTCATAGCAAACAGTGTGTGTTCATTATTCCTCCACAGCCAGACATCATGCATGCATTGCATGGTGTGAAATAAATAAACAGACGTGTGACAAATTAAAGGAAAAACCAACATGAAGTGTTTTAGTGAAGTTTTGGACCAATACATGTAACCAGAACAGCTTCAGAACACTTTGAGGCAGCTTTCAATCAATTAGTCACATGTCACAGATCTGGGTCAGTTCAGTTGCTATCTTAACGTGACACAAAGTTTGCACTGCAGTTTTGCTACAATGGTGCGTTTAAACTTTATTATATTTTCTGTTTTCGGTGGCTTTAAATGACACAGCCACAGGTACAATGTGCTCTAAAGCTGATCGTTAAGTATGTCTGTATCATAATAACATAATTCAAACGTTCACACGATGCCTCTAGTTTTTATTGTAAACCGTTTATTAATATTTATGTATGAATAAATTAAAATATTGTTTTAATGCATTTTTAAAAAATTGAGACTAATATTACTGTTCTGTTGTGATGCCTATAAATACGAAGAAATGTCAGCGTCCCATTTTTAAAATTTTTTTTTAAATTTTTTGTCAGCGTCCCAGTGTTTACTTCCTGGTTAGTGGACAAGACGCGGACATTAATGGCACCAGTTAGTCCGACACACCAGTTCAATCGTAACACGGTGTGCACTTTCCCCCGGTTACCTGTACAGATCAACGTCGAGCTCCTCCAGGTTTAAAACGCTGGTGACGAGGACGCTTTTGAGGTCGTGGATATCCTGAGAGGAAGAGCTCTTCGAGTTCTCATCTTCAGGTGAATTTTGGGGCTCAGTTACCCCCACGTCTTCAGAATTAGCAGTTAACTCACAGGTGCCGCGGATATCGTCAACTTCTTTCTCCGCCATGTTTGTTTGATAGCTTCTTCTGTGTCGTTTAATAGCGGTTGTGTATCAAATGCGCGTTGTCGCCACCTACTGGTGAGAGGAAATAAATCAACTCAAAGTGGCATGTTGTCTAATTTTTAACCACCGAACTCTCAGTTTCTAAGTTTGCAGCAAATGTATTCTTAACCCTGTAAGGTTCACAATTACAAAAATACAACAACAAAAAAAAAAAAATCTGTCTCTTTATTGTCTTTATTCTATAGCTCTTTCAATGCAACTACCTCTTTTAACACTTTTAAGATCAACTTTATTCATCCCAAACTTTTGCCAGAGTACAATAAACAAAGGCTAGAGAAATATACACAATTACAGAAACGTTAGTAATTAAATAGAAATCAAATGAGAATACAAGGTATAAAATGCAGAGTTTCTAAGTGTCCAAGTCGATGCCAAGAAATAGTGCCTAACCAATAAAATAACAATGGGGCTGCTTTTGTGAGCTCTAAATAGTGTCACAAAATACTCGATGAAGAAACGTATTGCACAAAACCATCATTGTTACACACACACACAAAGAAGTGTGACCGAGACACAACTTGGGTTTATAGCACAATAGTTCCTCAAATGCTGACTTTAATAAATGGAGGGTGTGGTGGGAAAATAGGTCCTCAATAGTTTTGGATAGGCTTATAACCTGAACCACCTGGAACATCATTATAATACAGTATACTCAAGTTACAGATTTCTTCCGTTGTTTGGATGCATAATTATATCTAGATTTACTGCTGTGTGGTTTTATACCCCCATCAACCTGACACACACACACACAAAAAAATTTTGAATTATGCAAGAGATATTATGTTCAGCAATAGACAACCCAAAAACCATAATTCCTCTGGTCACGGCAGCTGCACTGGTCAACAAATCCGTTCATACAGTCATGCCAAAAGCTCTTTAGTCAAGACAATAAACATGAAAAATAGCACTGTTTTTCCACACAGTTATGTAAACAAACCATACATTCACCTTCAATCATATCACTAAAAAATGTTTTGAATAGAATGAATCTTCCCCATTTTTCAGATGGATTGCTGACATTTTCCAATGTTGAAACAATGCATGAGGCTCTCTTGGTGGGGGCGTGAGAAAAGTGAGGTGAGATTTGAACTATGATCCAAGAAATGAAAGCGTGAATGTAGTATCTATGGTGTTAGGATTACAGTTTCAGGTAATGTAAACGACTGACAATAGCGTTCTAAGTGATGCTTTATGAGAAACAGTATCTCCTCTGCAGAGAATGGCTCTGGCTTTGATTTTAAAGCAAGCTATTATCTTCATGCAAACATGATCTGCCGCACAGGTCTTGTAAAACACCCCTGAGTTTTGTATTACAGGTCCTCAACTTGCAACTCTGCCAAAGCACGGCCAGTCACTCTCCAAGCACATCTCCCCATCGCACTCGTAGAAAAGGTAAGAAACTGATGATGAACGAGATGATGGAGGCAACAATGAATGCAATTTCTTCAATACTGACACTGTTGTAAAATTTACTCACTCATCAGTTATAAATGTTGTATGTATCGTGTGTACTGTAGCATAATTTTGTGGATTTGTGTTCACATTTTCACCTGTAATTTTAGAGTTGGTTCAGTAGTGCACTAGTTTTGTGCAGATTTCTTGAAATGTGCTCTTTCCAAGGTGTCTGTTGGTGTTGAATAGTTACTCTTATCTAACTAGTTACCTCACAAAGTCCTGTGTTTGCTCCATTATTATTTAGATACTTCAGATGTCTCAGTGCTGACTAGTGTGAATTTTATTCAGTACTGAAAAACTCTATCTGACATCTCCTTTTCCACACAGAACACACAATGCTACTGAGGTTGTTCAGCCTTGTACATATTTGTCTACGGGATTTGCATAAGCAGCAGTCTCACTTTTTAAACTCAGGTGAAGCAAGTAGCCCAAAATGTGAGGAAGAAAATAGTTTTTTATGTAAAAAAAAGAAGAAAAAAAAGCATATATATCGCTACAATTGACAACCTAAACATACCATAACATATGTTGATGTACTGTACCATTTTGTGGGGTTTAATATCTATACAGTGTTGTGTATCGTATTTTTAAAAAAGTAGTTTGGTCTGCAGAAAAAAAAAAGCTTTGTGCAACAGAAATTGAACATGGAAAGCCTGTCCTTAAGTTGTGCTTTCATTTGTTTGTGTGAACCTGTGTGACTGTCTAAAATATTTTGTCCTATCTCTGTTTTTATTTCTTCTGCTGTTTTCATGTCTGTCTTTACACAATAAGCCTCCATTTCAATTAGATGACATCAACAAATATGGAATGTAATAATTTTAATATTGTTTTTGTCCATTTCAGCATTTTATTTTTTGGTCTTATTTCCTGGTTGAGGCACATAATCAGGATGACTGGGGGTATGCTGCTACTCCTGGTTATTCAGACTTTTACAAGATATGCAGGTAAAGTGTCATATTAACATTTTGGGCTAAAGTGGGTGTTCGGAAAATTCTTCTGGGGAGTCCTAACGGCTCCAAACCAATAGACAGAGTCGTCTCTTAAGTCAAAGCAAAGTTTTACTTGCAGCAAGGAGTCACGTGAAAGATAGCAAGACTTACAAAAAGCAACCAAGTCTGTTCTCAGCAGATGGGAGGAGAGGCGATATCTGTTGTATGCCTGTATAAATGCTACAGCGTTTCTTGAATCGGGAGTCACTTGTTCAGAATCTGTACTGTGCATGTGATTCCTTGCTGCAAGTAAAGCGACTCTGTGTATTGATTTGGAGCAGTTAGGACTCCACAGAAGAATTTTCCTAACAGTGGGTTAGTGTGTCTTTCTGCCTCGTTTCAAATCAGTCTACATGCTAACAATGTTACACAAGGGACCTCGCTGTAATGGTTGTGGAAATGTAGCGCTACTTAAGTCAAGACTGTGTCAGATATTCAAATATTGATATAAACATATGAATGTGGTAATGGGCAATAAATGAGTGCAAATTGAGTGAGCACATCAATCTGCTGAAGATAACATCTTGGTTAATTTTAACCTGCTGGCATATAGGTGTTAGAATGTGGGGGTAATTTTAAATAGATTCTCAAATGGGTCTCCAGTGCCAGTTGTGTGTCATTATGTTATGTGGGACAAATACATGAGTAATTAGACCATTGATATGTTTCTTCTATCCTCCTGAAAGTGAATGGGAACCACTTTAGCATCAAATATCAGCAGCAGATGGGTAGGGCTAAATAGAGCCATCTTTATTTACTGCATTTCTCAGAACTTGACGTCTTTTCAGGAATATTGTATTGCACACATTGCATTCAATTTAGGAGACGCCTTAGTCTCAAGCGACTAACAATAAGGGCATTCATTCATACCACAAAGGTGTGAGAGTTTGTTGAATATCAGCTAAAATGGGGAGTGTATCCCTGTCCATTGGCTGCAAGTGTCTAAAAGTTGTCATTAAAATTGTTCTTTAGTTCAAGGAAATTAGTGAATTCTAACTAGGGTTGTTGAGATGCAGTTTGAAAGTTCACTCCCTGGCTCCCTGCTGTTTGATTCTGGCAACATTTAATATTAGTCTTGTCCAAATTGAGCTTTAAGTGGCGCCTTGACATCTTGTCCAAGATGTCAGCCAGGCAATCAGTGGTGTGTGCCTCCATCTGGATGGAATGAATGAAAGTATAGCTGAGCATCATTAGCATAGCAATCACAGGAAAATCTAGAACACCACCAAAATGAGAGGGCCCACGACGTTGCCAGAGGAACTCCTGTTAAGTTATGTGGTTCAGACACCAGTCCTTTCCACATCACCTCCCAGGAAGACACCCAGTCCTTTATGGGGGAAAAATATAAAGACAGATACACCCTCTCCATTGATTAGAACCAGGTGCTAGTTCTGGGCTGATACTAGTGTTGTTTAGCTTAAACTGTGAAGCTTCTAAGAACCTGTTTGTTTTTCCACAGGCTAGAGCATCACCATACAGCTATGTCATTATGTCACTGTATATGTCTGTTCAGAAACCTGTTTTATTATTTGAGCTTCGTCTAGTTTATTGTGAACGTCTGTTGAAGACAACATTGCAAAGACACAGTTTATCTCTCCCAAGAACTACTGCTAAAAAGCTGATGATCATTATTCATTCAATTTTCACTGCCATTAGATGTTTTGCTGTTGCCAGCGAAAATGCCATTGTAAACAGCAGTGTTTGTATTTGCAATAGTGTTTTACATCAACTGACAATAGTAATCATTAATCAGCAGGGAAAATTAGATCATCATTAGCTTTGGACACTCTACTGCTCTTTTTTTTTTTTTTTTTTTTTAAATGTGGTCACAAAGGTTAATTCGGTCTTGGTGGTCTTAACAATCCTTCCCAGGTTGTGAGCGGTTCATTTATTTTCTAGACCAGGTAAATGTTGGTGTCACTCTGTGTTGGTGGAGAAAGGGCAACGGTAGAAGGACTTCAGCTCTGAAAGCATAGAATATATCTGTCACTGCAAAGATGACTAATCCAATTGACTGTTGTGCTTTTTCAGTTTTATAAATGTCTGCCTATTGCAGCTTTAACACATTTCTCTTTTGTCTTTTTGCATTTGTTACCTCTAAGACATCATATCTCTGGATAATGTTAAATGGTGTGGGGACTGAAACCCAATCTTATTCTTAATCCTAAATATAAAAGCAAAAATAATGACTTTGACCATCTCTACTCTGATTATTTCTGTCATTTAAATGCAATGTTTTCATTTTCACAGTTTCTCAAACCATACCTGGTCCAACATCACCAAGTTCTACAGTAAGACTGGTCAATGCTACAAGTCATTGCTCTGGCAGAGTGGAGATCTTCCATAATGGCCTGTGGGGGACAGTGTGCGATGATATGTGGGGACTGAACAATGCTCAAGTGGTTTGTCAACAGCTAAGTTGTGGTGGGGCTGTGCAGGCACTAGGAAAGGCCTATTTTGGACAGGGCAGTGGACCAATCTGGCTAGACAATGTTCAGTGTTCTGGAAATGAGTTATCAATAACAGACTGTGTTCATGGAGAGTTTGGATTCCACGACTGTGGTCATGGGGAGGATGCTGGTGTCATCTGTGATGGTAAATGCATTTTTCTGTTTTATATATACTCAGATTGTTTCCAAATGGATTTGTCTTGAATTTCATGTAATTTTACCAGAAATTTGGACCACAGCTCCAAGTACCGCACTTGATCCAACATCACCAAGCTCTACAGTGAGACTGGTCAACGCTACAAGTCGCTGCTCTGGCAGAGTGGAGATCTTCCATAATGGCCTGTGGGGGACAGTGTGTGATGATATGTGGGGACTGAACAATGCTCAAGTGGTTTGTCAACAGCTAAGTTGTGGCGGGGCAATGAAGGCAATAGGTGGGGCCTATTTTGGACAGGGCAGTGGACCAATCTGGTTGGACAGTGTTCGATGTTCTGGAAATGAGTTATCAATAACAGACTGTGCACATCAAGGGTTTGGATCTCATGACTGTGGTCATTGGGAGGATGCTGGTGTCGTCTGCGAAGGTAAATGCATTGTTCTATCTTTGATGCAGTCATATTGTTTCCAAATGGTTTCATGATGATTTCTATGGGATTTTGATCAGAAATTCGGCCAGCAGTTTCTCAAACCACACCTGATCCAACATCACCAAGTTCTGAAGTGAGACTGGTCAACTCTACAAGTCGCTGCTCTGGCAGAGTGGAGATCTTCCACAACGGTCAGTGGGGGACGGTGTGTGCTGACATCTGGGAATTCACTCATGCCCAGGTGGTCTGTCGACAGCTGGGTTGTGGCAGGGCAGTGAAGGCACCAGGTGGGGCCTATTTTGGACAGGGCAGTGGACCAGTCTGGTTGGGCAACGATCAATGTTCAGGAAATGAGTCATCCATAATAGACTGTGTATATCGATTATTTGGATTTCAGACCTGTGGTCATTGGGAGAATGCTGGTGTCATCTGTGAAGGTAAATGCATTGTTATATTTAAGTAACTTTCATATTGTTTTCTAATGGAT